TACATGAATGAAATTTTTTTTTTTTTTAAAAAAAAAAAATCAAATTTGATAAACTAAGTGATTTGGAGGAAAGAACGCATGTCTTTATTCACTTATTTTCTTATTTGATAAATTAATACAAAAATATAATTTAATTATAATAAAAACGTCATATTACATAAATGTTTTTATATTTGAGTAGATGATAAATCACTTGAAAATTATTACAATAAATAAAATTGTTATAATTTATGTTTAGATATTTTTATTATTGTGTGTTGAACATATAATATTAGTGTAAATGATGAATAATTTAAAATACTAAATTGATATTTGGGAAAATAATTATTTCATCCTGAGGATTTACAAAATTAATTAACTTGTCATCGTATTTTTGTATATTAGGTATTTAATTTTCAAAATTTGATTCCGTCTCGTTAAATAGTCCTTCCGTTTGAAATTAAATGATTTTTTCGTTAAATAAAAATAAAAAAGCAGGAGAGAGGAGATATGGTTATTTTAAAATGACTAATATTTCCCTTAAACTTCCTCTTTCTTTCTCAGTGGAATAAAAAAGAGTCCAGAGCTCCGTGGCTTACTTTCTCCTGGTGTAGGCAAACGATGGATGCAAATATAACTCTTCCTCTATTGTAGCCTTTTCTCCTACAAAACTGCTAGAGACGACAGTGACTCAGTTCTAGGACTCTAGAAAAAGAATAAGTCTATGTTCTTGGAGCTGGAAAGGCGACCGACGTTGGCCTGTTGGGTCAGCGGGATGAGAAAGATTTATGTTGGCTAGGCCTGTGAGCTTTTGGAAAATCTAAACTACCAAACTATCAAATGGAAAAGACTATATACAACTACTACTGGTAAATTAAATCTAACTCAAACTTTCAAAAGAAGAGACTTCACCTTCTCCTTAAAATAATACAATCCCTCCTTCTTGAATTTAAAAGAATCAGAATTTCAATAATCCCTCTTTAAAAAATGAAAAAAAAAATTATGAAGAAATTTAACGAAGAAACATGATTATCCCAAGAAAATAAAGAAATAGATAGGCCCATTAGCTTAGAGCCTTCAAATATCAAAAGCAAGTGTTTACAGTAGCTCAATATTGGTTTATAGAAAAGAAAAAGCAAGTATTTATCCATGCTCCGAAACTCTCAAAAGCATTGGAAGAGAAAGAAATCAAATGGGTATTTATCTCTTAATGATGTTTAAATGCATTTATTTATTTTTTTTTTTGAGTTTGTATAGTTCCAGAAATGGAGATTTGAAGAGTTGCAGGAAAAGAAGAGGTGGCTTTAATTTTTATCTAATTGAGAGGGTATTTTAGTATCTTATTATACGTTTAAAGGTAAAATCATTCAAATTAAACGGATCATTTAATCGGACGAAATTTAATTTCAGAAATTAAATATCTAATATATAAAAATATGAGTTAATTAATTTTATAAAATTTCAGAACAAAATAATTATTTTCACTTTATAGAAATTGACGAATGATTTGATAAATAAAATAATTTGAAATTTGCTGTTATAATTCTACTTAATTTTATTGATACGATAGAAATAATCATGACTGATATGGATTGATTGATTTATTTGTTGCTTTTCAATTTATTGCTGTTGTTGCTTTATTCTTCTACCCACTAATTTTTAGAGGTCAGGAACAAGGTTGAAGCGTAGAACCATGTGAAAGAAGGAGATGCTAAGTAAGACCCCCTCGAATCACGACTCACGTCAAAGCTTTGCTCATGCATGCAATTTCTCATTTTTGTCCTCTTTTTTTTATGTTTATTATTTGTTGTAAATTGAAAATTCGTTAAATTAAATTTAAGTGTTCAACATAGAGAATTAGCTTAAACAATTGAGTATTTAAATTCGTTGTTTTTATTTAAAATGCAAATTTAAATCTACCTTCAGATTGAATTTCGAACTCAGGATTGCGAAGTATGCACTTAATTATTTGGATTGTTAGGTTAATTAGTTGATTACAATAATGTTTATGATAAATGTAGAGAAAATAACGAGGAAGTAATTAGCTGGCTTTCTGTTTTAAATGGGACAAGTTTGTCCTATATGATATAACTGTATGTTTGTTCTTGGAACGAGTTGGTTGTGAATTTGATCGATTAAATTTCAGAGAGGAAATTAATAATTCAATAAAAATATATTTTACGATGATTTTTGAATAATCTCTACATATTTTACAATGGATCATATTAGCTTCTACTCTAAATATGGTATACAAGGTTACGATTCGTGTGGTGAGGGTAGAAATCTTAATACTATATATATATTATAAACTATATTATATTATTGGAATAATGATTCCCCTATATCTGAGCCTTAACGCTTATTATTTATAAAGAGCTAAGGCACTCACCATATTATGGAGCCTAAAAGTGCTCACTATATAAATACAAAGAGCTAAAAATGCTCATCAATCAAATAAAGAATCTTGGCAATCACCAAAAATTTCTAGCCTAAGAAAGTTATTAACTATTTGAAGCTTAACAAGCTCAAAATATACAACAATGAAATAGATGAATTCCAAAAAATTCTAAGCATAAGAAAGCTCAGAATTAATTTTTTAAGACTTACAAAACTCAAAGCTACAAAAAAGAAACTAACGAGTTCCAAGCCTAAGAAAGCTCAGAGTTAACTATCTAAAAGTTTAAGAAAGATATACAAAAAAGAAAAATTACCAAGCTCAATCAAAATAATTGAATAAATCTTTGGTTGAAAATTAGAAGGTTACAAAAAGATATGCAAAACAAGAGCTATGACACCATCATTTACCAAGTTTAAATAGCTCTGAACCCTATCGCTCATCATTTAGCTAAGCATTGGTGCTCATCGTTTACAAAGCTTAAGTAGCTTTGAGCATGGACATCATCATTACCGAGTTTAAATTGCTCCAAGCTTTAACTCTTATCAGATTATTCTAAGCATAAAAAGCTCCGAGTAAAATTATAATCAACTCTTACAACTATGACGCTTAAGAACTCTAGTTAAAATCTGAGTTATAAAACTCACTATATTTTAAGACTAACAAGCTTTGAATAAAATCTAATAAAATTATGATGCTAAGAAGCTATAGTTAAAATGTGAGTTATAAAGGTTATTATATTCCAAGTCTAAGAAGTTCTGAATAATTCTAAATAAAATAACTTTGAAGCTTAAGAAGCTCTACTTATAAATTTAAAAGATAAAAATTTTAAACTAATTCCAAGTCTAAAAAGCTCGTTGTAACTTTAATTAAAATGACTTAAGAAGTTTAAGAAACTCTAGTTAAAAATTTAAAAGTAATTTTGAGCTCATTATATTTCAAGCCTCAGAAACTCTTATAAATTTCAAGCTTAAGAAGCGCCAAGTCCTAACACTTCTTGAGCCAAAGAAGCTCTAATTTAAATAAACAAGCATAAGCAGCTCACCCAAGATACAAAGCCAATTATCAAGCTTAAGTAGCTTAATTAAAGCGTATATGCATAAAAAATAAAAGTTAAGAAAAGGAAGAATCATGTTTTCAACAAAAGAATATGTTAAATCAAGATACTGGTGCTATCTAGCAATTCAAACTCACTATAAATTTGGACATAACTGTCCAATACTTGTAGGCTTAATTTCACCCAAGGTCTCTCAACTCAAGAGGTCATCACTTTGAAGTCCACCATCTCAATTTTGTATCATAAAACTGTCTCAACTTTTACACTTGTAATAATACAGTAACTCCGGCTGGAAGGAAGTGAAGTGGCTCGCCGGAGTCAATTAAAAAGTATTAAAAATACCAAGTAAGCGCCCATGTGTCAAATAAAATGTTGAGCTGGCAGGAAGAGATTTTGAAGATATCGTGGACTGAAATTAATCCTAGTAGAAGGTTCTTAGGTTGTATAAATTATGAGGTAAGATTTTAACTGGATTTGAGCTTGAGGGTGTGTAATGGTTAATGAACTTATTTTTTGTTTTATTTTCTCTTATTTATGCAGATACCTGCATACTGCTATTTCTTGGAATGGATTAATCTAGTGGTGCATCATCGTTCAAGGCATGTCATTATTGGGTTGTTGAGGAAGCTAGATCGGTTGGAGAAAGAAGATGAAGGCAGAGGCAAGGAAGCATGACATGAAGGTTTTAGCTGTAGTTGTAGGTTCTGTATTAGTTTTGGGTTTAGCAATATGTTTAGGTTTTGGCAAAAAATTATTATGCTAAAACATGTTGTTGTATGGGTAGTTCATCCTAAAAGATTTAATTTTGCAAGATTTTATAAAATGGTGCTTCATATGTTCCCTTTTTCCCTTCTTATTGAAATGGTATAATGAAGAATGAAGGTTAATTAATTGAAATATTATACACAATTGATTTTTTTATAACTGAACTGAAAGCATAATATAAAAGAGATGTAATATAATATATTGAATATGAATGTCCCTTTTAATGGAGCAATACATAGTGCAAAAAATTTACATATTCATGTCCAAAAAATGACACTCCCTGCCATGATTCAGAAACAAAACAAACTACATATATATGTGCTTGTTTCAAATCTGAAGCACAAAAAAAAAAAAAAAAAAATTTAATGAGCAATACATAGTGGCCATAAAATATTATTACATATTCCATGTCCCAAAAAATGACACTCGGCCTGCATGATTCGGGAAACAAAACAAACATAGCGCGAGGGAGTGTATGTGCTTGTTTTTCACAATGCGTGGAGCATCATATAAAAGAGACAAAGGGAAAAAAAAAGGAACAATTGTTTAATGGTCAATCAATGAGAGAAAGAGCCGCCTAAAGTATGCAGAAAGGGAAGAGTTATGATCTACTCGTGGTCCTGAGTGTTAACAAAACATTGCAAGCAAAAAAATAAAATCCAACAGTAAATGGTAGGTTTCCGGTATATTGCTCGGTGTAGCTTCCCTGTCTCTCCTCAACTTGTTTGTTTCTCCCTGTCTATAACTTGATGCTTGTGAATCACTAGGTGTTATGGCAAAAAAAAAAAAAAAAAAAAGGAACAATTGTTTAATGAATCCAAATCATAAGAAACCCTAAAAATTATGCAAAAGGAAGAGTTATGATCTATGGCCTGAGTGTTACAAAACATTCACAAAAAAATAAAATCCACAGTAATGGTAGGTTCAGTTATGCTGTGTAGCTTTCCCTTTCCTCCTCACTTGTTGTTTCTCCCTTCTAACTTGAGCTTGTGACACATTTTGGCTACCTGTCATGCAACTTTTCTATCTACTAATTATATCTAGATTTTGAAATGATTGGCTACTTCCCTGCATGTATAAAAACAACAAGATCTTTCACCTCACATCAATGGTCAATTGCAATTACAAAATTTAAAAACACAAGCAAACAAGTCCTACAGCCATAAACCACCACTCTGACTCATTGGTCAGATTGTTGAGTAGGTTGGGAACTGGGATTAGGCATTCCACCATGTGTAGAGCTACTCCCCTCAGCTGTAGAAGTAGAAGCCGCAGATGCAGAAGTTGCAGCAGAATGTGTAGATTTCTTTGCTATAGATGCATATTTATTTCCTTTTCTTCTTCTCTGCAAATTAAAAATATTGACAAATTAGTTATATTTTAAAAAAATTACATTGCACATGTAGAAAAATTAATCTCAATTACCTTTGCTGCCATATAGGAAGGGTCCAATGGAGCATGGAACCTCTTATTGTGGCCTATTGCTCCACAAGTGCTGCACTTCATACTTACCCTTCCCTTCTTATTCATTTTACCTCTAGTTGTTGTCAATTCAATTTCTTCAGCTTCCTTTCTCCTAGCCTTTTGCTTTCTACTCCTCTTTTTCTTAATAGGACTTGGTGGTACAAATGGTGCTATAGGGTTTGCCTTGGCCACATGTTAGGTCCATTAATTGGATTCAGAAAGTGACTATACACTTTCATGTATGTCTCCATAATATATGCCTCATGCACATACAACTCATGCACCTCATTATTGCCAACTATGTAGGCAATAACATAATGTCTATATGGGATGCCAGTTAAATCTCACCTTCTGCATGTACATGTTTTATCCCCTAAATCCACAATATATTGCCCCTCATGCCTAGCAACTTGCACCCTAGGTCCACCACTAAATGTGGACTCATACATATGTGAAAACTCCTTATTCTCATTTAGTTTCTTTTGAATCCTAGGACAAAGTTTGCCTTGTTGATTCTTCATTTGCTCTCTCTTCCTATGTAGTCTTTTCATTAACTTTGTCCTATTTACCTCTAACATGGTTAGGATAACACACTCTCTGGCATTTAGGATATATTTGTTAAAGGACTCACACAAATTGTTTGTGAGCATGTCACGTTTCACCTTAGTCCTAAAGCAAGCCCTAGACCAATTCACACAAGGTCTTACCCTCAACCAATCCCTTACCTCCACATTCCCTTTTTCAATCTCTCATGCATTCAATTTAGCATCATAGCTTGCCCTTGCTGCATTCCACAACAGATCTTTCATCTATTTACCTTTAAAATGTGCTCTAAAATTGGTATAAAGGTGTCTAACACACAATTTGTGCTCTACCTCAGGCCACATCCTACTAATGACATTAATAACCCCTTTTCACATAAAAGAAATAAAAACAGCAAAACAAAAATAAAAGAAAGTCAGCCACAAAAAATTAGAAAATCAAAAACCAAATGACATTTTAATGATTTCAAAAGTTGGATTACCTTCTATCTGTCACTTACGAAGCAAAAGTTGTGATCATTTCTGAGCTCCAAGCCTTCCTTCAATGCTCTAAAGACCAAACCCATGTCTCCATAAATTCATTTTTCACCACAACATAAGCTAGTGGGAAAATGCAATCATTTGGATCGATTGCCATAGTAGACAACAGTTGACCTCCTATAATTCCCCTTCAACCAACGTCTATCTAAGTATACAAGCCTTCTACAATAGTTTTTAAATGCAACTTTCAATGCATTTAGGCAGATATAAACACCCTCAAAACCTCCCCCATCTACCTTAAAATGAATTGAAGAACCAAGGTTGGTAGCTAGGAGCTCCAACCTATAATCATGGAGCTTAGCATACTGCTGGCTCTCATCACCATACAACACTGCTATGGCCTTCTCCCTAGCCTTCTATGCCTTCATCCATCCAATTGTGTACCCATGATCTCTTTTGACTCTATTTATAAATGTGTTAACTCCTATGTTAGAATAGCCCTTGTTAAGGATTAGTTGTAAATAGAACTCTATTAGGAGTTGTAAATAGAACTCTATTAGGAGTTAGATTTCTAATAGGTTTATAGTATCTTGTACTATAATCATGGAGCTTAAGCATACTGCTGGCTCTCCATCACCACTCGAACGCACAGCACTGGCGCTGATGGCCTCTCGCCGTAGCCCTTCTTAATGCCTTCATCCCATCCAATTGTTGTACCCATGACTCTTTTTGGACTCTATTTATACAATGTTGCGTTAACTCGCCTTGTGAGGAATGGGCGACGCTTGGTTAAGAGGATTAGTTGTAAATGAGAACGGATATTTTAGGAGTTGTAATAGAAACTCTATTGAGTAGTTATTACTTATAGGTCGGGGGTTTTATAGGTATCTCCTGTGATAGTGTATATAGTATGATGTCCCTATTGTATGAAATTCAATAATATATGAGGAGGTTTATATTTTTCCATAATAAAACTCGCATGGATCAAGGGGGAGCCGGTTGCTTCGCGTGTTAAAGCCGTTTTTATTTGTGCTCGTTTTGCATTTGAATTCAGCAGCTGTTCTAGCGGCTTTGTGTTATGTTCTCGGTGACAGTTCTAGGGTCTCACACTGGTGCTTAGTGTCTTTGTCTCACCGCCTACCTCAGAAGGTTCCCCGGCTGCCGATCGGCGTTCCCTCCAAATCCGGTCACCGGATTCCCTGCACGTGGGCCTCACGCACCGCCTTTGTTTTCTGCTACAGTACCACGCGCGGCGCGTGGCGGCGCGTCCGGCTATTTTCGGCGATCGAAATTTTTTCTCTAGCTTCGTTTCCACTTCAGCAGTCTACTCAGGTGGTTATTTTTCCGATCCGGTGAAGTTTTAGTAGGGGCGTTCTCAGTTTTGTCAATTTGGCGTTTCAGGTTATTTTTGCTCCTGTTTGCGTTGAAAGGCTATTTATTTTTGGTATCTCTTTCTGTGTTGCTGGTAGAGTGTTTAGTTTTTATTAATAATGAATCATGCACCTACAGATTCTAAAACTACTATTACTGAATTGATCCCGACAATGAATAAAATCACAGAACATAAATTGGAAGGACCTAACTATTTAGATTGGAGTAAGAGGAAGGACCTAAACTAATCGTAGATTGGAGTAAGACACAATAGAATTTATTTGGCGGAGTATTGATAAGAGCCAGATGATCATGGCACTGTATATGATTCTTTTGTCCGATGGCCAAGCATAAGGATGACACTCCGACAGGACAATTGGCTAGGGAGATGCCTGTAAGTTATTTCTCTGATTTCGGCAATTCCTATTAAACAATATGAAGATGTTTTGAAGGTCTTAATCAAATCATTCGTGAGTTTTGTTGAAAGTCATTAATGGACATATCTTGAATTTTTATCTCGGGCGGAGAAGTAAATTGTTGGCCGCGCGTAGTGGTTTGAGGTCTGCAATGACATGTTTCTTATCTGAGCCGACCAGCAAGTATAATGCCCTTACAACCTAATTCCATTGAATTTAAGAAAAAAGTTTATCGAGGCGAACTAATGGTTTTATTGGCCCTTTGCAGTGGCCCGATGTAGGGTTTCAATACAGACCTGCCTTTTAGTCCCGATGTAAAGGTTCAACAGACCCAGCGAGAACAAATGGTTGTGATGAGTTTTCTTGCAGGTCTTGCTCTGGTTTTTGAAACTGTCAAATCACAGGTTCTTTTAGGCAGTGATGTTACCTGTCTTCAGGAGACTTTTGCTCAATTGTTACGAACTGAGGGTTCTCATACCCCTGCCCCTTCTGATAATAGTGCCCTTGTGAGTCGACATCAGGTATCTAGGAAGCCAGGAAATAGAGGAAGAGGAGGAAATAACCGTAGTAATGGACTAATTACTCGGGAGGCAAATAACCGTAGTAATGGACCAATCACTCGGGAGGCAAGCATTCTTATCTGCCATTATTGCCATGAACCTGGTCACACTAAACGATATTGCAAGAAATTGATAATAAGCCACCAAGGGTAAATATGGCAACTCAAGATTATGCAATAACTTCTTCTGACAACAATGTAATAATTTCTATTGTGAGTATGCTGAACTCTCTAGATACCGTTCTTCTGAGTCTACTGATTCCTCAATTGCTGCTATTGCCAATTTAGGTACTCCTCTTTCATGTCTTATGTCTACCTCATTAGAGTGGGTTATTGATTCTAGTTGCACTGATCACATGACAGGTAACCCCAGTCTGGTAACCCCAGTCTCTTATCCTCATTAAAAAAACTTGAACTATTTAATCGTCATGTTACTCTAGCTGATAGGTCCACATCTTCTGTCAAGTGTATTGGCATTGCCAATCCCATTCCATCTCTTCCATTGTCTTCTGTTTTTTGCTTACCTCATTTTTCGTTTAATCTACTGTCGGTTAGAAAAATTACTCGTATACTAAATTGTTGTGTTAAATTTTATTCTACATATTGTATGTTTCAGGATCTTTTGACGAAGCGGATTATTGGTAGAGGACGTGAGTCTGGTGGCCTTTATCTTCTGGATGAACAAGTTTCATTATCTCTGGCTTCTGCTGGTGGTCTATCTCCTCTTGAAATTCATTGTCGTTTGGGTCATCCTTCATTGTCTACTTTAAAGAAGTTATGTCCGCAGTTTCAGTCTTTGTCAATTTTAGAATGTGAATCTTGTCAATTGTCGTGCTTGTCAATTTTAAGAATGTGAATCTGGTCAGAATTGCTAGAGAGGGGTCTGAATCGTTTACCTTAGTTCCTCGAATAAATAAACGGTTTATTCATCCCTTTGTCGGAGATTTAAGTATCATTTGGTCGCAGTTTGGAGGGTCATGTCCTGTTATTTCTAAACTGGCTTTTGGTATTTTGTGAATTTTGTGACTTTTGTGGATGATTATTCTCATGTTACTTGGTTATTTTTAATGAAAACTCGTTCTGAGATATTCTCTATTTTTTGTTCCTTTTGTGCTGAAATAAAAACTCAGTTTAATACATTTGTTCGCATATTGCACAGTGATAATGCTAAAGAATATCTATCGATTTTCTTCCAATCTTTTATGTCACAGAATGATATTCTCCACCAAACATCTTGTGTTGATACTCCTTCTCAAAATGGGGTTAGAAAGAAAAAATCGACATCTTCTTGAGGTTGCTAGGGCACTTCTATTCCAAATGAAGGTCCCTAAGCATTTTTGGGCTGATGCTGTCTCTACTGCAGTGTCGCGCCTAGGCGATTTTTTTGGTGCGAGGCTTGGGCTGTCTCTACTGCAGTTTTTTTTGATTAATCGCCATGCCTTTCTTCTCTGCTTCAGTGGGTTGAAAATTCCTTATAATGTCTTGTTTCCTGTTTCTAACGGCGTTCTGTTTCCCATTGAACGCTCGATTTTTGGCTTGTAACTGTTTTGTTCATGATGTTTGTCCACAGAGTCTTTGCTAGAGTGGATCCAAGTCTTCCTTCGTGTTGTGTTTGCCTTGGTATGTCCTAGACGTCAAAAAGGTTATCGTAGTGTTTCTCTCCCGATCTTGACCCCATTAATATATTTCTGTAGGAGCTGTCACTTTTTTGCAGAATACTGCCATTATTTAACTCTCTTCTTCTATGAGGTTATTTACGGACTGGAGGAGTTGAGGGGGAGGATGATGAGTTTTTAGTTTATGCTATCCAACAATGTTCATCAGACTCTCCTAACTTGCGCGCGTGCTCCTATTCCCGCTCCTGTAGGGGGGGTGCAAGGAAGCGTTTTGTGCTGTGGTTTCCCCCCCCCCTTCTGTTGATGTCCCGCGGGCGCCTCAGTTTTGAACAGGGTCGGTAGGGGTTTTTGGTGAGGGGTCCGGGGTTTATTCCAGGAAGAACCAGGAACTCTTGACTCACTTCCTGACGCGAGCCTTTTGCGCTTCAACAGATAGATTCCGTTCACATTTGATTGGTATTTTATCGGGCTCCAACTCAAGCATTGATGCGCGGGTGTCCCAGTCCCACTCCCCGGCAGTCAGACCTTGAACACTTCCCAATTGCTCTTCGAAAAGGTAAAGCGGCACAGTGTACCTTATCCCTGAGGTTGTCTTTTGTTTAGTTATGATCATCATTTCTTTCTCTTCGCGGCAGTATGTTGCTTGTAACGTCAACCTAGATCTCTGTCTGCTATACTAACACTGTTGTCCATATCTTGCGGTCCCATCCTGGTTGGGTATGCAGGCAATGAAGAGGGAGATGGCTTGCCTTAGAATACGAATGGTACTTGGGATATTGGTGCTCTCCGCGGCAGGTAAGAAGGCTATTGGTTTGCTAAATGGGTTTTTCAGCCTGTGTAAGCGTGAATCATGAATGGGACTGTTGCTCGTCTTAAGGCTCGATTAGTTGCAAAGGGCTATTGCTGCGTGGTAGATCTTATGGCCTTCATTATTTCTGATCACTTTTTCTCTTGTCGCCAAATTTGGCCTCCTGTGCTGTTTTGTTTGGGTTTTTGTTTATTTATTTCTTTAGCAGCCAACCTTTTGACTGGCCTTACATCAGTCCTGGACCATTAAGCAAATGCGCGGGTCATTCATGGGGATCTGGCAAGGAGGAAAGGTTGACGAGGGGAGCAACCACCCAGGTCTTTTGTTGGCGTCAGGGGAGTCGAAGGGTAAAGTGTGCTAAACTTCGAAATGGCGGTCTTTATGGCTTAAAACAGAGTCCTCGAGCTTTGGTTTGGTAGAATTTTTTGCAAATGTGGTTAACATCAATTTGGCATGCAGAAGAGTACTTCTGATCATTCTGTATTTTTCAGAAAGTACAGAAGTACTAAGACTGGTTTGATTCTACTTGTGGTTTATGTTGATGACATTGTTATTACAGGGAGTGATTCAGCCGGCATTACATCACTCAAGCCATTTCTCCAGACCCAATTCCAGACAAAAGATTTAGGATTGTTGAAGTATTTTTTGGGTATTGAAGTGTCTAGGTGTAAGAGAGGCATCTTCTTATTTCAAAGGAAGTATGTCCTTGACTCTGAAGGAAACTGGAAAGTTATGTGCCAAGCCATGCAATGCTCCAATGACTCCTAATTTGCAACTTTCAATTGATGTTGAGTTATTTGACGATCCTGAGATGTATAG